CTCATAATGACAGTTTGATAGTTGGGCATTTTTATGTTCACTTGTTGTGAGGATAAACCAGCCAACATGTAAGGGACACCTCAATTTCTTCATCCCAGGCTTCTGAAAGGGGAAAATGTCTCCCTGTGTTACCTCGCCACTGCTTAAAATGAAGCTGGCTGAAGTGCTCTACCCATGATTCTTCAGTACACACCCTCACCATGAACTTGAATACTGCAACTTTTGAACTATTGGACTCTGGCACTCTGGTAAAGAATCCCCCCCGGCCCCCCCAAAAAAAGAATCTTATGCCTTGGCTCAATGAGAAAATCAACAATCTGAGGGGAAATTGCATAAAGTCCAAACGCTGCTGACGATGATCTCGATTAGTTCTAGTTCTGCGGGCTGGTTGGCAACTTATTTCTGAAATTTCATTATGAGTCATTAAACTCTTATTTTAAAAAAATTTCCAACTTACTGAGAGAAGACCAACCAGTGGAAGTGGAAACTAATTCTGATATTTTTGCCGTAATGAGACCTGTGTCTGATCTTTTCATGACAGTCTGAACAGTACAGGTCGGATTCTTTTCGAATGCAGCCCAGGCCACTTGGGTATTCGATACATGTCCGATTCAAATGTGACCTAAGAGATGAATATTACCCGAGCGTCACTGACACTCGGGTCAGTGACGCTCAGTGACGTCACTATTCTGCGTTCTGATGCGTATGGAGGACCAAAACTAACACAATTAAAAATAAATGCAGAAATTGAAATTTTTTCGTTTTTCCTTTCCCTTAAACGTATTTTTCGTCAAGAAATGAAAATTTGTTCTTTTGTCTTTCCCTTACATGTGCGTTTTCGTCAAAAAAATATGTGTATATTTTGTTTTTCCTTTTCCTTTCATATGCGTTTTTGTCAAGAAATGTATATATTTTCTTTTGCGTTTTCCATAAACATGTATTTTCATCAGGAAATGTATATTGTTTTGTTTTGTCTTTTCCTTATACAAGCGTTTGTTCTTTTGCCTTGCTTTGTCTCCGTTTTCTACTTTTCCTTGTACTTGCGTTGTCATCAAGAAATGTTAAATGCAAATGAGGGGCGGTGTCATCAGGCTTTAGCTTCTGCTGATTGGTTGGTTAGCATCACACTTCATTTAGCTGGAAGACAGATGGCTGGCAGCTTATCAGTGAGCTGGAGTTTAGCAACTTTATTAGAAAATAGTGTTATAACTACTGACTTTATTATTTTTGGTGTGGACGCTCAGACAGAAGGTCTTTCAGTTAGCGGCTCAGAGCTTCACCGTTGGGGTTTTCATAGTTTGGACGAAGCGGCCGCTGAAGTTGGCTTCTAATTGAAGTTTCAGGAGTCCTCCGGTTGCCTGGACGTTGCACGGAAAGCTAATTTTTGTTTTGTTTGTTTTCCAACTACACTCATATTTAATCATTTGGAATATTAATGAAAAGTTAATATGTTTCAAATCAGTTGTAGATTACACAGACGGATGTTTCAAAGCTTTTATTTCTAATAATTATGACTTGTTTGGTTACAGCTAATGGAAACATAGCATTTAAGATTACAATATTACTTTAGAATAATAATATTAGAATATTACTTAAGATTAAATATGTTTACTTTTCGCTGCTAAAAGATACTCTTAATCTAATATCTCTTCAGAAGTCATTCTAATTTATTTATTAAATATGACTGTACTTATAATACACCAAATGGAGGCACCGATTTTAGCCAAGGTGTTGTTTTTTGTTTTTGTCAGAGGTATGGTGTGTTTGCACCGCGCATTAATTAATATTCCTATTGTGTGTATGTTTTCAAAGGTTGGTAAACTGGCACAGCAAACCATCCTGTGGGAGTTCCTGCAGGCCTCTGTCTCAGTGTTCGCCTTCACGGACCACCAGCTTACAATTTGAGGATGTCAGAGACTTTCACTTTTCATAAGGGAACATATGTGCCATAAGCTGTCAACAAATACTTTGTTTGAGCCATTTCAGTTGGGTTTTAGGTCAAACCTCTCCACAGGATTGGCTTTAATCAAAGTATTAAATGATCTATTGGTGAATGGAAATGTTCTCTCATGGTTGGGATCTTATCTGTCCTGGAGATCTCAGAATGTCAGCTTCAAAAATGAGCTCTCTGTTCCCCGTGCTGTGAGGCATGGCGTCCCTCAACGATCTGTGCATGGCCCATTGCTATTTTCTCCCCATCTCCTTCCTCTCTGTCTTCTTTTGCGTTCAGTTAGCGTGACCTTTCACTGCTATGCTGATGATCTGCAGCTATGTGAGAGGCCTTGCTACTCAGAACTGGAGCATAATTACCGTCCATCTAGACAATTTTATTTTCAGGTTTTCCCACAAGTGGTCTGGCCGTATTTTGGTGAAATACAGGCAGACTGAGTTTTGACTTTTAAATCCCCTCCAGGGTGCCAAGCAAATCCTCTCAGGCAACATATCTCCTGACTCCCCCCTCCTCACTGGATACATTGTCATAAATATTCACTTTATGAACTCAGATTTGATCTGGAGATATTTTATTCCACCTAAGATCTGTCTTAAGTGGCTGTTGTGTTGCACATTGACGTTAATGTTCTAAACATCCTTTTTCGACCTATTTTTGTGTGTCTGATTTTTGGTAATTGGACCGAATATAAGACCACTTTCACACAGCAGGTCTCGATTCTCAATTTTAATTTTTTGCCGAAATCCAATTTATTTTTAAATCTTTTGCCTGGTCGTTTATGCTACTGATTAAACTCGACCTCACTGAGATTTCTGTGTGAACGGTTTACGACCCCAAAGCAACCCCGCATGCGCTTCAGAGAAATGTTGACGTCACGCAGGAGCACATTGTTTATGGAAGTAATAATGGATGGATGGAGCCGTTTGTGGATGGATTTTAAAGCTTATTCAGCATTTGCAGCTTACAGTATTATTACAGGATTATAACAGGAGTGTAGCTAATAAAAAGAAAGCAATTCCTTTTTTCTGGAGGACTAACAAATTTTGTAGAGAAGCCTGTTTAGATGTGTAGTAAGAGCCAAGAGTGGCAGGATTTGTGGTATGATGCGCTTTAGTGTTGCAGACTCCTTTCATAAGTTCATAATCATAGTTTTCAGCCATTGTTTGCATCCCGATTCACCACAACTGGCCCTTTTTCTGGTGTAAAATTATGAGGTGTGTCTCACATCGATGACGTAAAAGTCGGATAAAACGAGCCGTGGCGCTTTCAAAACAACTGGATACATATTTGAATTAGTTACACATTTGAAAGTGGCTCGAATAGGATTTTTTTGGAGTGTGTGAAAATATCAGAATTGGTCCCATTCAGACTGTGGTGAAAAGTTCAGATATAGGTCACATTTGTGACAAAAGAAGCCATCGGCTGCTGTGTGAACGTAGTAACGAAGTAACAAAGGAAAAGTTGTAAGAACTAAAGATCCATGTGCCATTTAAAATGTAACAATGAAATGAAGGTCTCTGGTCTGTTTGGATATCTGGGTGCATAAAGTCTGTCTGTCTACGTTGTTTGGATTCAAAGAGAGAGCCCCCAACGGGACTTTCAGTCCTGAGAACACATTTTATTCCATTGACCTCTGACCTCATGACTTATCGTCCACTTATTCTCACTTTTACAGCTACTGTCTATCCCAGTCAACTTGAAGTAGCCTTTACTGTAACTCAACTGGCTTTCATTTCCTCTTTGAGTTTTGCTGTGAATTTGAACGTCTGAGCAGTCTGTCGAAACCGGTGACGGGTTGCAGCCTCTGGCTAATGTATCGGGGCGAAACCGTGCTCCTCTCTATGTGACAGTTATTGCTTTTATTTAGAGACGGGGTTTCAAACGGAGAGCTGTGTGTCAAAGGTCATGTGTAAAGTAGAAGACGATAAATACCTTGGGTTGAAGCGTTTCAGTCCAGAGATCTTGCCGATGGAAACATCAGTTTCATCAGCTGTGATTCACCTCTCTGTGGGCGGCTGTGGGGGTTACACCTTTTCCATGCAGTCATGATCAGCGGCGTCAAATAAAGAGTAAGGGAACCCGGGTCTTTCCACGTGTGAGCTGTACGAAACGGACAAAACGTGACAGTCCTCATGAAACACACTCCCGACTGGACACAGAGTAACACAGGCACCCTGTTGCTGACACACTCAACAGAGCAGGCGCTCCTCAGTTTGAAGAAACATACGAGATCCCCCACAAGACATGACTCCATGCTCAAGGCATCCAGCTCTTTCACACAACTCATTTCTTTTTGCCTCTAGAAAAAAAAAAACATAACACAACGAAAAGAACATTTATGGTCATTCTCACCTCTCTCTCCTCAAACTTTTACGCCATCTCAGCATCAAAAAGCAGAAGGGTGAAGCATCAATTCCTTTGTCGCTCTCTCCGTCCCCAGCGTGTCAGCTCCACCTGTTTTCTCACCCAAGTTTCAGAAACACTTTTTGTGTGTCTATAATTTCCTGTTATTTTCTCATTTCATTGTCGCTGTGCGTTTGCTGTCTGTCTCTATCTGTCTCCAGGATGAAATGGGGATTTTAGCACACACACACTGGGCTTCCTGTGTAGTGAGAAGAGGAGTGGCTTGCGTTTTTTCTTTTTTCTGCTAACACTACTAGTTCTGCTATTGTGTTCTTTGAAAGGAGTTTTGTGTGGCTCACACTTATGCCTGGCTCCTTTCAGCACCTCAAAAAGAGCAAACTTAAAAATCTTATTTCAGAAATGTTATCAAGTGTTATTTTAGGAGTCTGACATGTTGAAACGGATTGACAGCAGGAAGATAGGCGGTGGGTACATTATCTGTGTTTCCAGGGGTGGGCTGAACTCATTTTGATGTCAGAGGCGGTTTGGCAATTTTTTTTGTTTTTTAGCAGATGCATGAGAGGAGCAGGTGGGCGTGTGGGGGGGGGAGGCCCAAACGGTTATCGTTTTTCAACGCATCTACAGCAGCTGCCAACTTCAACCACTCTCTCTGAGAGGAAATGCAATGAAGAAAGAAATAAGGTGCTGGTTTTATTTACTTTTATTTATTTATTTTTTTTCCATTTACCAAGTGTCACAAAGAAAAAGACTCAACTCAAAGCAACGGGAAAAAAAAAAAAAAAAACTCACTGGAGACAAATATTAACAGACACATAAGACAAAAAGCATCGCTTGTATTTACAGTAAATTGCAATTCACTGACATGTGGCTTCTCTCGGATGGCTTATCTGAAATTTCTACATACAGCGCAGGGAATTAACAGGCCTGAAGAGAAACGTTTGAGAACTATTATGAGGAAACGTGTGGTCGTTGTTTCTTATTCCTCCTTTCTTCTTTGTCGCAGCCTTTCAGAGCTAGGAACATTTGATCAAATCCAAACCTCACATGTCAGCGTAACTCTTGCTGTCCGTGGGCAAGATTCTGCTTTGCTCCCAGCCGGCTGCCCATTTCTTTTTGCATAACAGCATGTCACATCAGTCCAGTTCAGCTTAAAATATTACCTGAATAAAGACAGCAGAGCCTTGCAAAAGAATTCGTGCGTCTTTTTCATATGGCCACAGACGTCAGCGTATTTATTTGTTTTAGTCGGGCGTTGATGTAAAGTGGAAGGAAAAGTATATTTTTTCAAGCAAATGTGTGAAGATTGTATGTTTTCAGAGTTCTTTCTGTGATGCCCCAAAATAAAAACCAGTGGAACCAGTCAGATGTTATTCAGATTATGAACAGCGTCATGAAGATTAAGGAACACATTTAGGGCTTTTTGGTTGATATCTGATATGCCGATATACTAAAACTCAGTTGGCCGATAACTGATACCAATATCAATATTTTTTCCTATACTTACTTACTGAAATTATATGACTTTTTCTACTGTGTAATTAAAATACTGCATAATCTTTGCCAATTTAGCCTGCTACCAAATGCAAATTCTAAATGGAGGTTTAATATGATGTAACACTTTCAACTAGCATTATTTTTAATAATGCTCGTATTCATGACATTTTCTCTAAGACAATGACAACGATCAAACAGTGCAAGTTTGTAAATCTTCACAAAACTGAACTCAACCTTTTCACAAGCAACAAGTGAAAAATACATCAGTCGTGCATTAATACTTTATGATGTTATGCTGCAGGCATCGTTGTCACTGGTTTGTCATATAAAAAACAACACTTATATCCGTGAGTTATCATATCGGTGGACTGACTGATGTTGAATTTTACAGTTAATATCATCCATGCCAATAATATCGTGCATCCCTAATCACAAGCACATAATTCAAGTAGATACTTGTGGATACGTTTGAAGTTGGGTTAAGATCCAGAAGATCTCATAGAGTTCAAATCGTTTTCTAAAAAAACAGGGTGGAGTATTGCAAAACCACAAGTGAGGCAAGATGTGGGCATCCTAAACGGATAAAAAAGAGCGTTAATCAAAGGCGCCAAGAGACTCATGGTAACTCTAGAGGAGCTTCACAGATCCACAGCTCAAGTAGGGCAATATTTTGACTGAATAAGCTCTGAATTATTCAGCTTTCATGGAAGAGTGGCATAAGCTGTAGGAAGTTTCTTTTACTTTTTGCCACAAGCCATGAAGGCCGATGGTCCCCTACTGTAGGATACATGACTCCCTGTCTTGATAGGTTCAGATGCCCCTCTGGGTTGTGACAGTGGAGAAATACGGGCAAGCAGGACAGTGGGCCTTGTTGAGCAGGGTTGAGGACGGGACACAGTGAAGATGTGGTCCGGTCAGAAAAAAAACCCAAAATGTAACTTTCTGGCCTACAAGCAAGCATAATTTGTGTTGGAAAGCTAAAGCTGCACATTGGCTTGAACAAACCATTCCCTTGGTGAGACACGGGAGAGGCAGCACCATGCTGTGGGAAGACATTCACTCATCAGAAACTAGAAAGCCAATTGGAGGATGGAAAGATGGACGGCACCAACCTGTTAATGGGGCGGTATTATGTTTTCCAGGCACATAGTGACTTTTTATAGTACAATCAAATAACTATGTTACATTCAGTTGTTATGAAAATTGTGCATAAATCACACATGACTTAAAAAGAATTGACTTTGCAATTTAACACTTTGAGATTAGGCCTTTTTGACGCTCTTACTTCATCATGTCATCACAACAAAGTTTCTATGTTAAGCCGTTAACAACGTCCTTCAGCTGCTGGACTGAGAGGTTGTTCATATAATAACCTTCACAGGTGTTTGCTAATTGCTGCTGTCACTAGTCTGAAGGAGCTACATGGAAGTCGGTCCTTGGTGAGAACAAATGTTTTGGTAACCGCGAATGGTCACCATAGCAGATTAAAGGATTTCTCAAACATGAATAAAAGAATCAAGGTGACACTCTCCTCGTATATTTTTGACGAGGGAATAACATTATAACGTGACATAAACCTTCAAAAAGTAAATTTTACCTAATACCGTCCCTTTAAGAGGACTGAGAAAACTTAGACAGCAGATTGGGTTAGATTAAACCTTGTTTATGTGAATGACCCAATCAAAGTGGGAAAACCAATTCAATTGAGAATATCTGACTTAAAAACCGATGTCCACAGATGGTTCCACTTTACAATTACGCACTTGTTTTTTTCTCAAAAAAAAAAACACAAAAATAGAAAATTAAGTCTGGGACCAAAAAAAAAAAAAAAATGTGAAAGACTTCAAGAGGCAGTGTGAATACTTTTGCAAGGCCCTGTGGGATCTCCTCTCTGGGATGCTAATCCCTCTCGGAACAGGTGCTTTCCATCCTCAGCAGCTTGGCTTGAGTCTGACAGTCTCTCGGGGAGCTCGGCGAGGACAGGAACGAGTTGGAGAAGGACGAGGTGCGCCTGAGGTGCATTCTGAATTCGGCGTTCAGAAAGTAATACAGCAGAGGGTTCAGGCAGCAGCTCATGCTCGCCAAGCAGAGGGAGATGGGGTGAAACTGTTTGACGGCCAGCGTGGTGGCGCAGTGTTCAATAAACCTCTGCGAGACCATCAAGTAGAGCATGAAGTTGATGTGGTACGGGGCGAAGCAGAGCAGGAAAAGACCCGAGCAGCTCAGCACCATCCGCAGGGCGCGCCGCTTCTCGCCGCTGTTGGCGGGCTTTTCGTGGCTTTTGTCCGCCTGGCCGTTGGAAGTGAAGGACTGGAGTCTGCTGCGCATTGAGGTGCCTGGACCGGCGGAGTCCTGCCGGTCCTGCGGCTGGCTGTGATTGAGGGACCAGGCTATGCGGATGGAGCAGTAGCTGATGCAGACAAAAGGGATCAAGAATCCAAACAGCTCGCACATGCTGATCATGCTCACAGCCAGCGGGACGGAGATCTTCCGCATGGGCAGGTCCTTGAAGCAGCTCCCGTTGCTGGACGGGGCGCTGGCGTTCAGACTGCACGTCGTCGTGTTTAACAGCGTGGGTGTGGTGGAGGGGTGCGGGGCGTGGCTCTCGTTGGCGCTGGACATGGCGGTGCCGCTTCCGCTGCTCCGCATCAGAATGAAAGGCGAGCAAGCGGCAGCGACAAACACCCACACCACCACGCTGATGAGCAGGTCGTAGCGACGCCTCCAGCGGCGCGCAGTGAACGGCTTGAGGAGGAAGCCGTATCGCTGCACGCTGATGCACACCTGAAACAGAAAGAGCATGAATCACACGGATATTTTTAGAAACCCGACAAAAGTCATCTCATGACTTTCTGCTCTTCTCAAAGTGGCATCATAACTCTTGAGCTTTTTGCTTCAGTTTAGTCACGTTTCGACCACAAACCTGAGAGATTTTTAGTGGGATGTCGTGTGATAGACCAACACAAAGCGGTGAATAACTATGAAGTTTAAGGACAGGTGGATGTGGGTATCAGAGTAGTTTTCGGAAATAAACAACAAAAAGAGAAGAGTGGATAGTTTTTGAGTCCGTCACAGCCGTCTGCTTTCAGAAATAACCTAATTATTAAGGAAAATCCACTCATGTATGGATTCATTTCAGTGTAAATTCAACTGTTCCTTTAAAATAATGAACAAACGGCATCTGAAGATTAGTGAACAGTTCGTGGGGAAAGTTGTGGGGAAGTTTAAACCAGAATTTGGTTATAAAACTTAAATACCAAACTTTACAGCAAAGGGCAGCATCATCAGTAACCAGGTTTAGGTGGAGTAACCAAAAATCATACTCACATAAGAGTAGAACTACTTCAACATATTGTTTACACTAAAAAAATAAAAAGTAGCCGTCCAAGAAAATGAAAAAAAGTATTTGGTAAAAGGGCTGCTCAAGTAACATAGAATCTGATTTAATATTTTAAAGTGTCGCAATCAGATAAACATTGTGTAGAAATGTAAATGTAAATGTAAATGTAAAGCAATTCTGGCATTTAAAATACTAAAATAAAAAAAATTACAAATAAATACAAAATAATAAGAATTTTTCATATCATATTTTAACAATATTAATCTTTACAAGAACTTTATATTTACAGTAGGTAATGCTAGAATAATTTGATGTACTTCCAGTGAGAATATATGACTGTGGATAGAAATTAACATTTCCAACAAAAAGCTGGTGTAAAAACACAATGTCTCACTTTACTGTAAACTCCAAATGTGTGTCTGTGTCTATTGCTTTTTTGGCTAAAATATGTTTGTACTTTATTCATTAAAGTTACTTGTGTTGGATAAAGCATCTAAACATATTATTAAAGTAAGACTAGAAATGATGTTATTACTCAAGTAAAAGTAAAAAGCACAGTCCTGTAAAAGTATCCCTAGAAAGTCATTTCTGTTCCCCTGAAAGTGACTCAAGAAGCCATGAAGAGCAGGAAAGATGACAAATAGCAAGACGAATGAACCTAATTCTGGAAGAAAGATTTTTAGATCCTGCAAGCCCAAGTGGAGCAGAAGTTGACCTTTGACACTAAACATACGACCAGAGCTGCAACTCATTTGCTTAGACTAGTGTGTTACAGGCCTGTTTTATGATTCAAATGACAGCATTTCCTCTTCACCATGCCGTCAAGTGATGCAGAACTCTGATAATCATCCATTTATTTAAGTCAGGTGTGGGAAAAAAACACATGCAGCATTGAGAAACACTGGTTTAGAGCAAAGCATAGAATGGCCTAATCAAAGCAGAGCTCTAAATCTGAGTGAGAATCTTTAGCAAACATTTTTAAAGAAGGTAAGGTAATTTTATTTATATAGCACATTTTCAGCAGCAAGCTAATTCAGTGATTTACATGAATTAGAAGGAAATACAACAAAACGACAAACCAAAGTAAAGAACAAAGGAAGAAAACATAAAACAAAAAAGTTTAACCCCATATTTAAGGAGAATTAGTCTGTGATTTATAAACCAGTAGGGCTTTCTCTGGATTCTTGTTCTGATAATGTTGCTCTAAAGCAATGAGTAGTTTCTCTTGATAAACTAATAAGTTTCTCTGGATTCTACGTTTATTCTAATTCCTGAATATATAAACTAGATGCTCCTGTTATAAGTATAAATACTCTACAATTTATAAGCTAGAAGAAAAACTCCATGCAATCTGGCGACGCTTAAGTTATTTTGTCAGAAAGAACAAACAATTCAGGTGGTAGAGACAAAGTTCTGCTAACTTTGTCTCTACTTGAGTAAGTCGGACAGGAGCAGTTTCAGGTTTCAACCCTGTGCCTCATAACTGCTTAAAAATAAACTAAAAAAACAATCTAAAATAAACTAAAAAAACAATGACTGTGGTTAAAACAGTTAAAGTTCACATCACTAGTTTGGCTTTAGATATTTAAAACAATATCAATCAATCAATACTGATATGAAGCACTGACATATTGTCATCCAGCTATAGTTTATGGCTAGAACTGGACAAAAATCCAAACAATTTCAAAAGGCACCGTGCTTACTGTTTGACTTTATGATGACATAAAACGCTAAATTTCATCAAACATCTCTGTTATATTTTAATTTAGTTTAATTTCAAATAAAAAAAAAAGAGAAGCACTCTTACCAGGAACACAATTGCAGCGTACATGTTTAGGTATTTGAGGTAAAAGCAGAGCAAGCAGATGCCTTTTCCGAAGGGCCAGGAGTGTGTGAAGTAATAATAGATCCGCAAGGGCAGAGAGAGGACGTGGACCAGGTCTGCCAAAGCCAGGTTTATCATGAATATTACCGCTTTGGTCTTCTTACTGTGGGACGACACAGAGGAGTCAGTTAGTAACTGCAGGATCATTCGCTATTGTGCAAGAGTTTTGAAATGCAAGCGGTTTCCTCTGGTTTTAACGCCAGCAGATACAATCAATTGAAGGGATCTTGAGCAACTTTGTGTCTTTTGAAGGTCTAGCAAAAACAAATTACTTTAGCCGATTAGGGTTAGGGTTCAACTCGAAATGAATCGTGAAGAACGTTTGCGCGTTTACCCGCCTGACCTACCTGAAGTGTTTGCAGAGGACCCAGAGAGCGGTGGTGTTGAGGAAGAGGCCAGGGACGAAGAGCAGCAGGTAGAAGTAGGTGTACATCTTCTCCATCGTGTGCTCCCAGCTGGACAAGTCATGGTTGCAGGATGGGTTGTTAGAGAACCCCTCTGTCGCTCCAGTTTCGTTTACAGTCATTATGTTTTTGTTCTCTTATTAAAAAAATAACAACACCACCGAGGGCGGGCTTGTCAGTTCATATTGTTAGTCAGCATTACCGCTGAAAGAGAGAAGGGAGAGAAGAGTCAAAGTACTGAAAATAAACGCAGTGAAAGTTGATCTGACCTGTTTTCAAACTCACAAAAAGGTGAAACATTTTCATATGAACTCATTCTGAGCAGAGTTAGTCTAATCGTCGGGGACGTTTTGCCAGTTTCAAACATTTCCAAAACTAAAAGGGGTCGTCACTCAGCCCCACATCCTCACGTGAACTTTCGGTTTCGTATTGAGCAGGTGTTTTTCTTCCTACGCGCTGCGGCTCGTCTCCAGCAACCCGCTAACGGGAAAGTTCTAGCAGCAGAACATCTGCTCCAGAACCTGTTTGTTCACATTTGCCAACGTTTTTTACGTTTGCTCCCACATCTTCTGCAGCCTGCTGTGTAAATGTCCTCACAGCAACCGGTTTAGTGAGTTGCATAAAACTCTGATCTTTTATTGCAGTTACACAATCCCTCACAGAAAAAAAGCTTTATTTAGGTAAATCAGTATATGTTTATGAGAGTAAAAATAATATACAGTTGTTAACTCTACTGTCAATACTTTCTAAAAAAAAAAAAAAAAAAAAAAAAAACCCTCTTTGGGATAAAAAAAAATTTTTTTTTTCTTAGTTTTT